GATATGGAGGAGTAAGAAATTATAGTTTTTTGTAAGATCTAGTGTTAAAATATAATTTCAAGTATAAATTATGATGTATGTTAATTACTATGGATAAAAATTGGTTGAAAGACCGGAATTAAGTATAAAAAGTTGATATATATATACTCGTGCTTACTTGTTTTTTATCAAATAAAATATAAGTGATTAGATTTGTACTCGTAATCAGTTAGTCAATAAAACCCTAATATCATGTCAAAAGAACCAATTCAACAAAAACATTTAGGTTTTTAGGTGAAACTTCAATGTATAATTTATATAATTTTCTAATAATCAATCAATATATTCACCAAAAAAATCTCAAAAATATTTTTAACAATTTGATTAACAAGTTATGCAAGATTGATATTTATCCTTTGACCTTTAGAGAAAGTGTTGGATAAAATTTGTAATTATGAAGAACTATTTTCCCTTCAAATAACATAATAATAAGAGGCTATGATATTTGTTTTCCTCCCTAAACAATACCAATATATTTTTAGTATAAAGAAAGAAAAATAAAAATTCTTGGATTGAGGGTTATTCTCGTTCAGAAACTCTAGTTTAACAAAAGAAATAGTTACATCAAGATGGAAGACGAATAAATGACAGTGCTAGTTTTAGGGGCTGTTTGGGAACGTGGTTGAACCTGCGTTTCTAAAAATTTTTTAAAAAAATTATTTTTTATTTTGTTAAAATTTAATATGGTTTGTATGTTTTGGATCGTTTTGATGTGCTAATATTAAAAATAATTTTTTAAAAATAAAAAATATCATTAACATATATTTTAATATAAAAAATTATTTTAAAAATAATCACTATTATGCTGCCAAATACGCTATTCGTTTATTTAATTTGGCTGTGAGGATTGGAAAGACTTGCTTCTCAAGTTTTGGCAAGAAAGATGCTTTTGACCTCGAAATTATAACCATGGAAGAAGAAGACGGTTGGACTTGTTCACGGAAGAAACTAGAAAACCGGTAGTTTTCGCTTGTTTGACTTCATCAAAGCTGAAGTCATGACACTGTCTGTTTAAAGTGATAACTGTGGATGATATTTCTTTCGAAAAAGGAGTCTCTTGCCACATGTCGTTTCCTGATAAAATTAATATTTCTAGATGAATCAAGATCACCAGTTTTTTTATATAGTGTATGCGCCTTCAGATTAATTATTATAAATATACTCGGCCATCTTTGAAAATATTTCACAGCAATATCATTTTCTTTTACTAGTCTTCGATCGCCGCTGTGGGAACACAAGTGACATCGCTGTCTTTTGTAATTCCACTCGGTGTGATGTATAAAAAAATTATTTTTAATATCAAAATATTAGAATTTATGAAAATATAAAACAACGACTAAAAAATTATATTTTTTAAAGATATTTTTAATATATTTTTTTAATTCCTCTTTTGACTCTTGTGCGGCAAGCTACTTTTGTGTGTTTGGTTTCTTGGATGTTGATGCTAGTTTGAATCAATGTGCATGCATCGGATTGAAATTAAATACCCGTTCAAACATTTGGGTATTCAGATTATTCTACGCTAGGAGACTCGTCAGATCTTTGTACTATTAATAGATTTTACAATAAGCTGCTTTTTTCATGTTCAATGGAGGCCTAGTCGAATTTTAGCATATACTAATTATTTCATCCGTGCCTTGCCATGAATTTTATACATTCTTTTCAATATGATAATATTTTCTATGTATTTTTTAACTTAAAAAAAAACTGCAAATCAAAAACTTTATATATACATTTAATTAAATAAACCAATATCTATTCATACAAAAAGATTATCCAATTATTTATTAACCAAAATTAATCAGTTAAAATTGTGATTCAGATTACGAATTAAATTGGGTGAAACAAATTTTTTCTATAATTTTGTTATCTAAAATAAATAATTATAAAATTAACTAGCCAAATATTAAGGTAACTAGATAAAAATATTCAACCAAAACAAATCATGTTACTCAATTAATAATCAATAAAATATTAAAAGATGAAATTAAAAAAAATAAGTAAGAAAAATAAATTTAAGAATGAAATTGAAGAAAAATTAAGCAAAATATTGCACAGTGAGTCATACATTTTTTTAACGCAAAAAATAATATAGAAGTTACCAATGTGTTTCCTAATTAGAAAAAAAAAAATTAATTGTATAGAAGTTGGTCTAATGTGACCTATTCAACTTGATTAGTTTATAGACAATCCGGACAACCATTAAAAATATAGTTTGATAAAAAAAAATTCAAAGCAATATTTTTTTAAAATAATATTAAGATAAAAACATATTAAATCGAGTCAAGTTAATTTGGGTTAACTTACCAAATCCATGTTTTGGATCATGAGACCAAAATAACTCCACAGAAAGAAAATCAAAACCAAATATGAAATCCAAATTTTCAATTAAACTAATGTTGAAAGATGAAATTTAAAAAAAAATTACAAAAAGAGATATAAAAATACATTCAACTTGATTTAACCTAGATTAATTTGTCAAAGTTGCAACCTAGGTTAAGTGACTAGGATAATTCAATAGAAAGAAAATCAAAATAAATTATGAAACTTAATTCTTAATCAATTCAGTATTAAAGGATAAAATTAAAAAAAATATCAATTGAAAATAAAAAAAACTCGAGTTAACCTACCAAACTTATAACCAGGTAATGAGATCAATATAACATCATAAAAATCAAGAAAATTAAAAAAAAATAGGACACCATAAAATAACTCGAGTCTACACAGGTTAAGTTGTAAAAACTCAATTTGAGTCATAAGAATGAGATAATCTCATAAAAAACATATAAAAAATAAATCACAAATTCATAATCAACCCAATACTTAATGATGGAATTTTAAAAAATATCAATTAAAAAAATAAAAACAAACATTGTAATAACGAGTAAAAACATGACTTAAATTTTAACAAATAATAATAACTTTCACTAAAAATATTAAGACAATTACAAATTAGATTGATCTTAGTCCCCAAGCAAACATTATCATGAAGTCTATTGAGTTAATAATTTAATTTTTATAAAATATTTTTTTAAATTATATGATAAAATATATGGTCATAAAATTGAACACCAATATAAAAATAAAAAACTTATTTGAGATACTGATAACTATATATATAAATAATAAATCATTTAGTTTATTTTTTAACCAATAGAATAAAATTAAAAAAAATATTAAAAAAATTAACAAACCAAAAAATAAAAAAACATATCCAGCCAGTCGGTGAATTTGTCAAACTTATTAATCAGGTAACCTAAGCTAGTATGTTAAACCTGTGAACCGAGTTATAAACTTTAGTGAGATTATAATTTTTTTTCATAAATAATGTTTATTTAACTATATGGCCTTAAAAATAAGATTGCAAAATAAAACACCAATGTTGTGAACAATTAAGCAACAAAAAAAGATAAAGATAATTAACATTGTAACACAAGTTATTTACCTTATTGTGTTTAATAACTTTTTTTATCAAAATAAATTTATAATAACAAACACATAAAGTTTATAATAGAAACCAAATTGAATATAAAAAAAAAATACAAGGATGCATATATAAAAAACCTTATAAAAAAATTGATATTTTTTTAATAAAAATTAATCTATAAAAAATTAAAAACAAATCACATATGAATCTCACAAAACTCTTTAAAAACTAAACACATTCAAAATCTTTAAAAAATCATCATAAACTAATTAAAATATAAATCCAAAATTTATTTTACAATATATCAACTAATACATTAATTTTAAAAATATGTAATTTTTTATAAAAAAATTCAAATCAGGTGCTACTAAGTTTGGTAGAAAAAATAGGATCCTCTATTTTTTTACTCAAAAACCTATTTTTGGCCTAAAACTTGTAGGAAACATCTAAAAAATCTTGTTAAATTAATTCATGACCATGAAAAAGTGTAAAAAATTATCTTAAAACCTAAAATTCATAAAAAAAAAAATCTCAAGCTTATATATGATTTTTTAGGTGCTTTTAAGTTAGAAAAACACATAATCTTAACTTCTTTCATCATAAGGAACCATTTAATACAAAAAATAATTATTTTGGTGACCAGATTCTTTACTAACCAACATTTTTTTTTTCTAAGCTGGAATCTAACGACTCTTTTTTTTTAATAAAAAAACTGAAAAATAAATAAATTTAAGTTTAATATCAAAATTAAATTTTATAAAATTCAATAAACTAGTCATCTAATAGGTAAAAATAACAAGAAACTTAAATGAGCTTTTAACAAAAAATTTCAATATGCTACTTATGTTACTAGTATTTTTTTCATTTTAGGTTTTATTTTTAATTCAACCCTCCCTTATAAAAAAGAATAAAATTAAAACTTAATTTAGTCATGAAAAAGCTTAATTGTGTTAAAAAAAGTCCAAAAGCTTTTTTTTTTTCAAATTGTGATATTATGATCCACATTAAAATTAAAATGTGAAAGTGTAAATAGTGTTTTTGGGAGGCTCGGATAATCGGATACATACATCTGATGATGTGATCCCACCTCTCAAGTCTATTTAATATATTAAATTTTTTTTTTCCATAAAGACATGAGATTAAAGATTTTCTTATAATAAATTTCATATCTTCTTTAAGAGAAAGATGATATATAATTTTGGATATATTTAATAATATCTGTAATAAATGTTGAAAATATTTCTTAAAAGAAAGGAAAAATAAAAAAAAACTGATAATATATCTATCTAATATATTATTTAATTATTTATCTTATAACTAATAATATATCTATCTAATATATCATTTAATTATCAAATTATTTTTTTGGATTTGTGTGAAAGTATAGTTTTAATTATTTTTAAAATATTTTTATATTAAAATAATAAAAATTATTTTTAAAATTAATAAATTAAAACGATATAATATATATATATATATATATATATATATAAATTAATATTTTATTAAAAATAATTGCTTTTTAAAAAACACGGTTTTGCACCGTACAAGAAGGAACCTTTATTGAGCCACTGTTTCACTCTCCCTTCCCTCATCTGCTCTGTTTTACTGCTTATATAAACACAGCCCCCCTCGCTCGATCACTTGAATTTCAAGAACCCTGTTCTCGTCTTTCATACTTCTCTACGTTCCAAGAAGCTAGTTGAAATGAACATGCTCCACTATAATTAAGCCTTTTCCTTGCTTGTTCCGTCTATTAGTTGCTCTGCTCAGCTTCTATTCTCTACTACTTTCACCTTTCCTTCTACCAGTTTGCTTCCTTACAAATGCCTAAGGTGAAATAATCTTTCTTGTTGGCTTTAGCCTCTTTAATCACTCCATTAGATATATCTACATGTTTTGTTTTTCTCTGTTTACTTAATCGGTTACCATTTACTCTTTGAGTTTGTGTATGCTAATGATGTTTTAGAAATTTACGAGTATTAAGTTTAGAGCTTAACTTTGTAGGTTCCATCCTTTTCGTAGGGTTTTGAGGGATAGATAGATAAGATGGTCATGGATCGTAATTACACAGGACACTCTGATTACCAAAATGATTCCACATTTGATGAAACGATCATGTTCCCAAATTCAGATCAATACCCAGTCATTGAGCTCGGATTTGAATTCAATACCCCTTCTCCTGATCTCAGCTTCATCAATCTTGATAGTGATCCTGATAGTTTTGGACTATCCTTTAATTTGAATCCAGCGGGGGAGCCATCTGTTCCTTCAACGAGCTTGAGCCCGGATGGAGGGTTACTTGATCCCTCAACGGGCTTGAGTCCCGAGGCGGAAGCCTCCTCTCTTTCTGAGGATAGTGATTCCACTGACCCGCTTCTCAAGTACATAAGCCAGATGCTTATGGAAGAGAACATGAAAGATCAGCCACACATGTTTCATGATCACTTTGCTCTAAGCGCCACCGAGAAGTCATTGTATGATGCACTCGGTGAGCAGTATCCTCCTCCTCTCAATTCGTCCCAGTCTTATCTCAACCATGAGAGCCCTGACAGTAATATTTCGGGAACTTGCAGTAATTGTGGTGATAATACCAGTAATGGAATTAGCACAGGCACTAGCAGTTTTACCACTGATTTTTCTAAAGAACCTCAGTGGGTTGGTGGTGACGCCGATGTTGGAGCGTCGAATCCATCTTTCCAGAGAACCTCTCTTCTCGGTGATAACCATCTCCAGTCCAATTTGCGGCCCAATATGCAATTTTCAGTGAGTCCATCGAATGGTTTCACCGATTCGCGTGACAGCCTTATGGGTTCCTCTGCGGGTGAGATGGTGCAGAATATGTTTAGTGATATGGAATCTGTTTTGCAGTTCAAGAAAGGGTTAGAGGAAGCTAGTAAGTTCCTTCCTAGTGCCAGTCAACTGGTAATTGATTTGGAGACAAATGCATTTTCCACGTGGAAAAAGGAGAAGACTCCTAGAGTAGTGGTGAAGGAGGAGAAATCTGAGTCGGACAGCTCGCCTAATGGTTCGAGGGGTAGGAAGAATCATGAGCGAGAGGATTCAGATCCAGAAGAAGGAAGGTCTAATAAGCAGTCTGCGGTGTATGTGGAAGAGGGTGAACTATCGGAGATGTTTGATAAGGTATTGCTTTGGACTGGGGAACAATGCTGTGGCAATGACGCTGACCAGGAAGTAGGATGCAAGAGCTTGCAGCCAGATGAACAATCAAATGGATCCAGTGGTGGGAAAAACCGTGCTAAAAGACAGAACAAAAGGATGGAAACAGTGGACCTGAGGACTCTTCTGATCCTTTGTGCACAAGCTATCTCCGCCAATGACTTCAGGACTGCTAATGAACTACTGAAACAGATCAGGCAGCACTCTTCTCCATTTGGTGATGGGACTCAGAGATTGGCTCATTTCTTTGCCAATGGTCTTGAGGCACGCTTGGCTGGTAGTGGCAACGGAACCCCAAATTTTATCACTTACCTTGCTTCAAAGAGGACAACAGCTGCTGATATGTTGAAAGCCTACAAAACCCACCTTCGAGCCTGCCCCTTTAAGAAACTTTCAATTGCCTTCGCAATCAAAATGATTTTGCATGCTGCTGAGAAAGCAACTACTCTCCATGTTGTAGATTTTGGTGTCCTCTACGGTTTTCAATGGCCAATTCTTATCCAGCAACTCTCTCTGCTACCTGATGGCCCCCCAAAGCTACGCCTTACTGGAATAGAGCTGCCCCAACATGGTTTCCGGCCATCAGAAAGAGTTGTGGAGACAGGACGTCGCTTGGCCAAGTATTGTGAGCGCTTTAAGGTTCCATTCGAGTACAATCCTATTATTGCACAAAACTGGGAAAAAATCCCAATTGAGGACCTCAAGATTAATAGAAATGAGGTGCTTGCTGTGAACTGTCTATGTCGGTTTAAGAATCTACTCGATGAGACAGTAGATGTGGACTGCCCAAGGGATGCTGTTCTTAAATTAATTCGGAAGATAAATCCTGATATTTTTGTTCATACTATTATCAATGGATCATACAATGCTCCCTTCTTCCTCACACGGTTCCGGGAGGCACTATTCCAGTTCTCCTCATTATTTGACATATTTGATTGTACTTTACCTCGAGAAGATCAAGAGAGGATGATGTTTGAGAGAGAATTCTTCGGACAGGATGCAATGAATGTTATAGCTTGTGAGGGTCAGGAAAGGGTTGAGAGGCCGGAGACATACAAGCAGTGGCAGGTCCGGACTGTGAGAGCCGGGTTCAAGCCTCTCCCATTTGACCAGGAGCTCATGACAAAGGTTAGGGGCAAGTTGAAGAGCTGTTACCACAAGGATTTTGTAGTTGATGTAGACAACCACTGGATGCTGCAGGGATGGAAGGGTCGAATAATTTTTGCTTCCTCTTGTTGGGTGCCTGCATAGGAGCATTGGACAGAATTTGAACTTGGAATGGAGAGCTGTAAGTTTCTTCATTAGCTGGACAGGAACAATTAGTTTCAAATTCAGACTGAAGGTATGAAAGCCTTACAGAGTTACAATATAGTTTTTGCTCTAGCTCCTCTCTTATGATCTGACAATTTTTATCCTTGTAAGCTAGTTTGCTAGTTTTAGTGCTTCTAACTCTGAGCATTTTACTGGTGTTCAAATGCAAGACAGATGGTATAATAGGTTCTAACTTTGCTCCTTCCATGTTTTCAGATGATCCGTCGGGCTACCTAGCTCTTGAGAAAACCCTTTGAAGTTTTAGACTTAATTTGTAATTTCTGGACCTTCATTATCCTTTTATATATAAAAAAAATGCGATGGTTGATGGCTTGTTCGTCCTTGTCTAAAGCTTTACTTTCCGAAGGCCACTGGGGAGGATGTGCTTCTTACAGTGAGCTTTGGGAACAAGCTTGAAACCCTCTTATGTTTGAAGGATGTAAATTCATTACTGGCAACTGGTTTTTGTTGGGAAACTTTGTAGTCAAGTCATGTAGTTTTTGTCTAGAAGATCTTCCATCTGGAGCGGTGATCAAGGGAGTTTTGAGACCCGAGTATTTATACATAAATTCATCATGGTTCAGCTTATCTCAGTATCTAATAAATCATAAATTTAGTGCATATCTTCTCTTTTGATGAATGAACCTTTTCCTTTAATAAAAAAACCCTCGTCTTGATAAATTGTTACTGCTGATTGGAAACCGAAACCAAAAGGCAAAAAAACCTTTCAAGGCTTATTAGCTGTGGTTCTCTGGTCTGAAGTTTATGATGAGACTTCTCCATGTAGTGGCAAGTGGCTATAGCCCATGGGTGTTGTTGGAGTCGCTTTGATTTATTTCTCATCAAAATTTTGAAATACATTTGGATATAAGCATATGAAGATTTCATGGTTTAGGGCAACTGATTTAATAATTTTCGTAAGACTAATTGAATATACCTTCTTTGCTCCAAGGAAAAAATGAAATATTTTTCTCATCTAAAGAAAACTAAATTTCCTCCTCAGACTTGCATGTGGAAAATTTTCTTTTTGTTTTTTTAAAAAAAGAATAAAAAATGTTGAAAATTCTAAACTTAAATCAACCACAGGAGGTTGGCTTGATGGTTAAAAATTTCATTCTGACTTTTTGAACTTTAAGTCTTTAGGGCAAACATCCAAAAAAAATTATTAATCTTTTTTAATGCAACGAATTAATGTAAGGCATGATATCTTAAAGATAATCCGAGAAGGGATTTAATCTTTAAAAAAATATTTTAACCATCAAATAAAAAAAATCAAATTATTTATGAGGGAATTACATATTTAAGATTTATTTTTTCTGTTTAAACAAATTTTCATGATAAAATTCTTCCATTTCCGGTGCCCTTTATACCCATGGACCGAGCTAAATATAAACATAGAGTGTCTGGGAAAATAATATGTGTTGGAATGGGTCGAATAATTACGAACAAAAATCCTTCGCGCTTGTGAATCAATTTCAAAAAGCCCCATTTTCTCACAAACCATACAAACCTAAATCTATACCTCAATTTAAAAAGCCAACAATTTTTTTAATTATTTTTATAAAATTTACAATTTTAATATATTGATGGATAATGAAATCATTTAACACATTACATTATTATGTTTAAAAATTAAACATATTTTAAAGATTTTGTTAACTAATCCTTAAAAAAAATAAATTAATTTCTATGTACTCATGTTGACACATGTGAATTTATTTTTGGTTGTCAAGATATCCTTCGTTCAAACAAATTTAAGCTGAAATGATAAAATATTTATATATTAATTTAGTGTGAGTGGTGACTTTCAAGTTCATTCCAATTAATATAATCTTTGATAGATTTATGTCCATTGTATGTTCATCATCCTTTTAAGTCCAACATTCTTATTTCAAATAAAAGAATTGGACCTTGTTACTAGGTCATTAATCATTGTTTTATATCTTAGTAGCATTTCATTTTAAATAAAAAAACATGCATTTATTAGTTTAGACAAATTCTTAGCATGTAAGTATAATATATACATTTATTATAAAAAACAAATGCAAAACACTTAAGTACAATATATAAGATGATTGTTATTATTTTTATTACATAAGCAACCTAACCTTTAAAAATTAATTAGAATTTTTTAATTATCATGAAACTAAATATTATATTTTTATTTTTTATTTTTTTTTATATATAATTCACCAAGATATTCTCTATAACAATGATTGGAGGTATGTTATTTTTTTACTCATTCCGTAGAGTGTATACTTAAAAAAAAATTGACATGTATAAAGTTAATGGGAAAAGAAAACACTCATAAAAAAAAAAACTCTCTATACATAATATAATATATAGGAGAGGTCATTTCTCTTTCTCTCTCTTCTCTTTTTGAGAATTGAAATAAATATATTAATATTTTCAACTATATCATTAAGAACATAATTAACTCTCTAATTGCTAATAAAATTACACTCAAATTACTTATATACTAAAACATGTGAGATTTTCACTGTACATTTATCACTATGTAAAATATTTTTTTTAGTTTGATCTTCAAACTTTATTTTTGGATGATTAAGTCTTATTTAATGAGTAATTGATTTTAAATTCTTATAAAAGGGTAAGAATGGAAGATGAGTATAATAGTCCGGCCCAACATGTTATATATTGTTCGCTTTGCCTCAGCGTAACCCGATTTCCACGCCTCACGGTTGTTGTTACTCAATTTTGAACCCTATGTGCTCGAGACGGTGTATACTTCTTTTGAATTGAGTGTAGGAGTTTAGCTCATGTTTGCTAGAAGATTGACAAAAGCACATAAATAAATATTTTTTTTCAAAACCTTGTTTGAGTTGTTTTCTGCTCCTTTTATTCTTCCCTTTTGCTATCAAAATCATTAGGTTTTCTTAGATTGATCAGGAGTCTTCATAATGCTAAATTCGTTTCTTCTTTATCTGGTCTTTAAGGTTGGATAAATATCTTAGAATTTGCACTAAAAACAAAGGTTCTGTGCTGTGACAATTTTTTGCTCCAACTTAGGTTCTGATTTTGACTTGGTTTCGTATGATATCTAACCATCCTAACTATATTCTGTCACTCATGACTTGCTAAAAAATTTACCTTGATTCTGTCACTCATGACATGCTAAAAAATTTACCTTAAGTTCTAGGGATCACTGTTCTCAAGGAAGACTCTCAGTCAGATTTGGATGTTCAACATTGTCAAATCAAAAACCTTTTTGATTAACTAAATGACTGCTAGATTTTGTTCTTTAAAATGATTTTATCTCACTTTGACTCTTTCATTAAAGTTGTAGTCCTAGACATGTAGATAATTTGAGCTTTTAAATCACTTGATTTTGATATCAGAAGCTCAAGATATTCCTATTTGAATATGTAACGGGAAAGCAGAGATTTCTACTACGGGAAGGATCCTGACCCGAGTTTTGCACTAAAAAACTCTATTGCCGTCATAAATTTTGTTGATTTGTTCTTTGGTCATACTCTTAGTCATATCGGGATTCTCGGCATTGTCAGTTTCTGAATTAGATTAAGAGACCCGTTTGATCAACCAGATTACTTTTAGATTCTGTTCTCTAAAATGATTTTATCTCACTTCAACTCTTTTATCAAAGTTGTAGTCCTGGACACGTAGATAAATTTGACCTTTTAAATCGCTTGATTTCAATATCAAAAGCTCAAGATATTCCCATTTGAATATCTAGTGTGAAGGTAGGGATTCCTGCCATGAGAAGGATTTTTGTCCAAGTTTGTAGGGACACAATTGCAAGATGCTTAAAGATTGAAGACCAATTACAGGCCAATTTGAAGCCATTTTATGGATCAAAAACCAAATGTAAAAGGTGTTAAAATAAGAGAGTTGATTGGAGATAAAATTAGAAGAAATTTTATCGGGTGATGAAATTGAAGAACAGGAATTAGATCAGAATAGAAAAACAATGCCTCCCCATCTGCAATTCTTTCTTTCCTTTTTCTTTACACAACTACCTCGACTATCTTTTTTTCCTTTTATTTGCAAACCACGTTTTTATTGTCTCATTTTAAAGGGTACAACTGGTGCTTTATGGTCCTAGCTATGAAAGGAAAGAAGGGAGCCGCACCATTCTCTATACTGAAAAAAAATCACTGATGATTGAGAATCAAAATCAAAATATTTTGGTTTTCTATTTCTGCTCACTGGATATTACACCCTAGAGTTAATGTAACATTTGTTTCCTAAATAAAGCCATGTATAGGCTATATAGAAGCCTTGACTATTGACCTAAAAGGGGGAGAAAAACAGAAAAAGAAAGGAAAGAACAAAGAAAAATAGGAAGAAAAGGAAGAAGGGAAGTATGACAGAAAAGAGGAGAAAGGAAAGAAGAGTACGAGAGAGAGAACCGGCAACAACATTGTTGAAAGCAGAAAAAATATAAAGGGAGGGGCATGAACTCAACCAGCATAACACGTTCTCATTGCCATCTCCCTTATCATCTCCACCGAGAGGCAAGTAATAGGAGAAGGAAAAGAGGGAGCAACAAAAAAACAAAAAGAGAATAGAGGGAGCAGCATATAAAACACAGAGAACAGAAGGAGTTTCTGTTCGTTATTGTGAAAAGAGAGGGAAAAAAAGAAAAAAAAAGAGGGGAAACAGAAAAAGAAAGACAAGAAAAAACACAGGAGAGGATAATACAAATAACAGGGGAACAAAGGTTTTCTTTCCTTGATCCTTTTGTCACCATGAAAGAAAGGAAAAGGGAAAACATAAAGGAAGGAGTCGGAGAGTAGAAAGTAGAGAAAACAAATGGAAAAGATTAAGTTTTCTTAAGATTATTATAAACCAAAACATGCACGGACTGCCTTTAGGTCTCTATTCTAGTCCTTGCAATAAGATCTACAGAAAAAAAGAGAATCGAAGCTAAAACTAATAAAGAGAAAGGGACGAAGACATAGAGCTGAACGTGGGAGACTGACATAAGCAAAGAACAAAGGGAAAATAGCTGGAACAAATGAACACGGGCAGACCAGCCAACACGCCTTCAACATCGCTGCAGCTCTTTCTTTTTTCTCCAGGTTTATTATTCAGTTCTGCACGCATTTCTTGGTTGTATGTGTTACTATTGAAGTGAAATTTAATTCACTTGAATAGTAACTCACCAGCTTTCATTAAGCTGTAACTACACCCTTAAGCTATAATTGTACCCTTTTGTGTCCAGCCGGGTCACTTGCCCGACTATACCTACTTGTTTTTAAAAAATAAAATAAAAGAAAGAGAAAGATATTTATTTTCTAGCATATTTATATCAAGGTCTGAATTTTTTTTTGTAAAAAAAATATCAATCTTGTATTTAGGAGGAATTCATCTATTATTCACCGTTAATGTTTAGATAGAAAAATCTTAAAGGGATGAATATCCAAAATATTTAATGAGAATAACTTGTTATTATTTACTGTTAATATTTGGATAAAGAAACTCTAAGTGATAAATATCCAAAATAATTTTCTAGGGATAATAAGCCA